TGTCCTATGTTAACCTAGTCAATGTAGGACAATACATGATAAAAGGTTCAATTCACCAGGAAAATATAACAATTATACATACAGTCAGCCCTTCATTTCAATATATGCTTCATCCGTGAATTCAACCAACTAAAGATTAAAAATCTCTGAAAAAAACTGCATCTGTACTAAACATATGTGATTTTTTTCTTTTCATTATTCTACAAACAGTAACATATAACAATAATGTATATAGTATGTACATTGTATTTGTTGTTATAAGTAATCTAGAGATTATTTAAAGTATATAAGAGGATGTGAGTAAGTTACATGCAAACACTGCACTATTTTATATGAGGGGCTTGATCACCCATGGATTTAGGGACCTTCAGGGTGTACTGGAATCAATTATCCATGTATACTAAGGAACAAGTGTACAAATATACATGTACACAATCAAACTAAGTAAATACGTAAAGCAAATATTGACAGATTGAAGGGGGAAACAGCAACACAATAATGTTAGGAGTTCAATGTCCCACTCTCAGTTATGCATAGAACATCTGGGAGAAAATCAACAAAGACAGTGGACTTAACACTATGACTAACTGGGAGCAACAGACACACACAGAACATCCCACAAACAGAAGACACAATCATCTACATTGCACACAGAAGAGTTTCCAGGGTAGATAATGTGATACGTCAAAAACAACATCTTAACATATTTAAAAAGATTGAAATCATACCAAGTAAAATCTCCAACCACAGTGTAATGAAACCTGAAATCAACAGCAGAAGAAAAACTAGAAAATTCATAAATATGTAGAAATTAAACAACACTCATTTGAACAACCAATGAGTCAAAGAAAAAATTAAAAGGGAATTTAAAGAATATGTTGCATCAAATGAAAAAGAAAGTACAACATACTGAAACTTAAGGGATGTAAGAAAGTACTGAGAAGGAAATTTATAGCCTATGTGAAAAAGAAGAAAGATCTCAAATAGGCCAACTTCACACCTTAAGGAATCAGAAAAAGAAGCATAAACTGAGCACAAATGTATTAGGAGAAAGCAAATAAAAAAGACTAGAGCAGAAACAGAGAATTAAACACAATAGAAAATGATCTACAAAGCTGAGTTCTTTTGGGGAAAAATTTTGACAAATATGTATCTAGAGTAAGAGAAAACCACAAAAAAATAAAATCAGCAATGAAAAGGGGACATTACAACTGCTATCAAGATATAAAAAAGTTTATGAGAGACCACTATGAACAGTTATATGCAAAAAATTAGATAATCTAGAGGAAATAGATAACTTGCAAGACATCAAAGACAACCTGCAAAGCCTAAATCATGAAGAAATGGAGTTTGAACAGATTAATAATATGAGGACTGAATCCCCAATAGAAAACGCCCGGATTGAAAGAATTCATTAGTGAACGTTACCCAACATTTAAGGAAAAACTAATGCCAACCTTTCTCAAATTCTTCCAAAAAACTGAAGAGAAGGGAAACTTTCAAAGTCATTTCATGATGCCTGCATTACTCTGATATTGAAGCCAAAGATTCCAAAAGAAAACTATAGGCAATATTCATGATGAACTCAGATTCAAAACTCCTCATTAAAGTACCAACAACCTGAGTTCAGAAATGCATTAAGAGTTTTGTTTATCAAAATCAACTGAGATTTATTTTTGGAATGTAAACAAAGGACAACATATGAAAATCAACTAAGGTACACACCACATTAAGAAAATGAAGTGTAGGGGCCAGCGCTGTGGCGTAGCGGACAAAGCCGCTGCCTGCAGTGCCGGCATTCCATGTGGGAGCCACGAGTCCCAGCTGCCCCATTTCCAATCCAGCTCTCTGCTGTGGCCTGGAAAAGCTAGAAGACGGCCCAAGTCCTTGGGCCCCTGCACCGTGTGGGAAGACCTGGGGAAAGCTTCTGGCTCCTGGCATTAGATCAGCGCAGCTCTAGCCATTGTGGCCAACTGGGGAGTGAACCAGAGGATGGAAGACCTCCTCTCTGCCTCTCCTCTCTCTGTGTAACTCTGACTTTCAAATAAATAAATAATCTTAAAAAAAAAAAAAGAAAGAAAATGAAGTATAAAAATCTCTCAATCATCTCAGCAGATGCAGAAAAAGCATTTGACAAATCCAACACTCTTTCATGATAAAAATTCTTGGGGCTGGCACTGTGGTGTAGTGGGTAAAGTGCTGCCTATGGTGCCGGCATCCCATATGGGTGCCAATTCAAGTCCTGGATGCTGCACTTCTGACCCAGCTCTCTGCTATGGCCTGGGACACAATGGAAGATGGCCCAAATCCTTGGGCCCCTATATCCACGTGGGAGACCTGGAAGAAGCTCCTGGCTCCTGGCTTCAGATAGGACCAGCTCTGGTGGTTGCAACCATCTGGGGAGTGAAACAGCAGATAGAAGACTTTCTCTCTCTCTCTCTCTCTCTCTGCCTCTGCCTCTCTGTAACCCTATCTTTCAAGTAAGTAAGTAAGTAAATAAATAAATACGTAAATGCTGTTTAAAAATTTCAACACAATAGGACCATCAGGAAATCACCTGGACTTAAAAAAGGCCATATATGAAAATCCCACAACCAATAGCACACTCAATGATGAAAAATTAAAAATGAAATGATTTCCCTCTTTTCATTTTGATTCACTATATATAATACTTTACAATTTAGTGAGGGCAATTCTATCCTCCTTACCCCTGGAAAAAAAAAAAGAAAAGAAATAAGAGGCACCTAAATCAGAAAGGAAGACGTGAAATTGTGCTGTTTGCATAGCACACAATCTTATACATAGAAAACCTTAAAGACTTCACAAAAGACTATTAAAACTAAAAACTTAAAAAGGACTATTAAAACTAACAAATTAATTCAGTAAAATCAATGTGCAAATTTTAGTTGTATATTAATTATAAATAATAAAAATAAGTTATATATAAGTTCAGTTGTTCTATACATGAACAATGAACTCTTTGAAAAAAAATTAGAAAAACAGGGGCAGGCATATGGCCACTGGTTAAGATACCTGCACCCTATATCAAAGTACCTGGGTGTGAGTCCAGGCTCTGGATCCTGACCTAAGCTTCTTACAAATGAGGATCCTGGAGGCAGCAGTGATGGCCCAAGTATCTGGGTCCCCACCATCCACATAAAAGACCTGGAATGAGTTCCCAGCCTTGGCCATTGAGGGTATTTAGGAAGTGAACCAGCAGACGGGCTATCTGTCTATGTTATCTCTCTCTGACACTCTGCCTCTCTCATAATGATATAAAAAGAGAGAAAGAAATTTTTAAAAATCTCATTTACAATAGCATTAAAAGAACAAAATACTTAACAATAAGCTTAATGAAAACAGTAAGAAATGTTACATAGAAAATTTCAAATTACTGATGAAAGACATTAAGTAACACAGACAAATGGAAAGATATCCCTCTCTCTTGGTATTGTCAAAATGTCCAAACTACTTAAGTGATCCACAGACTCAACATAATCCCTATCAAAATCCCATGATCAGTTTTTACAAAAATAGAAAAAGGAATCTGAAAATTCATAATGGAATCACAAAAGCCTTTGAATATCCAAAGCAATTTTAAGAAAAGAAAAACAGAGCTGGAGGAATCACAGTTCTTAATTCTAAAATATATTAAAAAGTTTCAGTAATTAAAACACTATAGCACACACAGACCAATGGGGCAGAATAGAAAACCTAGAAAGCAATCTATGCATTTATGTTCACCTGATTTTGAAGGGTGTCAAGAATACAAAATGGGGAAACGATGGTCTCTTCTATTAGCAGTGTCGCTTTTTAAAAAGGAAAGGACAGCATTGAAACGATAAAAATAATGAATTTTACACTTAGAAAAATAAATACCTCAGGAATATTTTAGAATCTTCTTATTATCATAGCAATAAAAATGGATTATATCCCCCATTATGACAGAAAAATTCTTAAGTTGGGCATGTCATAAAACAGGAAATTTAGGGGAAAAAAAAGATATGAAAAGATATCCTAAGCAAGTATAAAAGAAGAAACAAGTTTCACAATATTTGATACAATATTAGTTCCCTAAGAATAAAAATGATCCAGGAAGGAGAATTTATAATTATGAGATATGAATAAAATGAGCTTTTATGATGGTGAGGGTAATGAATAGTTTTTGAGCGCTTTAACCAGTGTTACCTGCCAGTTTAAAACAGCTTCATCCATTTTGCAAATGAGGAAAGAATCTTGGACTAAATACCTTGCTCATAGCACTCAGCAAAGGATTGAGAAAACCAGGAACTCATGTAACTTTGGTGCTTTATCTCAAAGAGAACATTCTGCTTTCAGAAATGAAAATTTCACATAGTAGCAGCACAGTAAAAAGAAAGAATTAGTAGATCAGTTTCAACTGTGCTCCAAGTGTCACAGAAGTGGAGATGATGCTGACAGCACGTACTGGGGTCAATGCTACCACGCTGTCTGGAATGGCTGGAATCCAGGATTAAGGCTAGAATTGGGAACGCGTATACTTAATATATTTTGATATGAACAATTTGTTCAGGCAGCACATATTTCCCTAAAGAGTTGAGTGTTCCTGTTGAACAGTCACTATGAACATGACCAACAAGGTCGTCGCTCTATGGAACATTCTATAAGAAGTGAGTTCACATAGCATAAACAACAATACAACAAAATGTACTGAAAATTGGGTCCCCTCCTGGAGTAAAAGACTCATAATTTGAGGAGTGAACACAAGAACCAACAGCCAGCTGAGGCTCTGGAAGAAACCTTCACTCACAGTCTCTGTGTATCCTACTCTGTGATGTGTGCTGATCAGCTGTTCAGGTTCCCATTTTGCAGACAAACATAGGTGAGGACAAAGCTTTCTTCCATCTTCTTAAATAGACTGCAACATATTGTGCAGTGTATACAGGAGCAAAATGCTTCTGAATGAATGTGGAATTTACCCCAAAGTATATCCATGGCTCTTACTTGTGAAAATAACTTACAGCTGCCGAATTTCAGAGGGCAAGCATGTGCATCCATCGGGAAGTCTTCAAGCTGCATGGGACATTCGGCAGAAATGGTCAAGCTGAAAAATAGGAAGTGAAGACGTGTAAATGACTCAGTAATGATGGCAATTTATTAACAAAACACCATGTCCCAGAAAGCTATATTGAGTATTTTACTCACCATTTTCATTAATATCCCTTAAGAAATTTTGTAAAGTAACTCCACCAAATTACCTTTGCTGTGTAGTAGGTGACCATCATTCAGAAACAGGTGTAAATCAAATCTACTCAGGCGTTCTATGGCTGTGTGTGTGTGCGTATATCACTTCTGAAACAATTTAAGTGTCTTTAAATTATTTATCCTTTGTTTTCCATTCTTTACCCATTATCTCAGAACATTCACTGAAAATATACACATTTTCTCATATAGTTTATAAGCTCAAAAATTGCAAATAAAGGAAAAAGGCACAGTCCAAAATTTTTTGGAGAACCTGCTTATAATGGTTGTATAATTGGTCTGTGGTGTAAAACTGTACCATAACGAATTTGTATATAAGAATATTTTTCTGGTGAAATTTAATTAATGTTATTATTAATCCAAGTCTAGTCTTCCAAATAATAACACCACCAATCACTACTGTTGTCAGCACAACTAGAACATACATGGTCACAACAGCTAAGGTGCCCATGCCAGACACTGTGTTAACTGCTTTACCTGTATTTACTCATTTTATTAAAATAGTGTAATGGCATTGCTATGACCATCCCAGTTCTGTTTGAACAGTAAGAAATTGGACCAGGAAACAGAGAGCTACTCAGTGGTGCAGCTGTGACTGGAGCTCAGGCTGCCAGCCCTGGCTGCAGAGGTCCCTAAGGGTATTTACCACCTGCTGCATGGCCATGGGCTGTGCTTTGTAAGAAGCAAGTGCATCTCCAGAGTCCCCACACTGTGGTGCTGTTATGTTCTGGATACGATTTGCATGTGTCCTTCAGAAATTCAACTGTTGGAAGCTTGGTGTGCAGATGGTTGGGTCACTGTGGGTACCAGACTCAGAAGGTATTAATGTAGTTCTTGTAGGGCTCTGGTTCATTCTCATAAGCATAGGATCTTACAAAAGCAGCCAGACTGGCCTCTGTATCTCTCTGGTTTTCTGTCTCACCATGTGCTCTCTGCCCCACACACTGCTGCCACTGTGATGCAGTTTGCTACAGGGCTCCTGCCAGACGCCAAATCAATTAAGCTGCTGGATCTTGGGCTTTCAGCCTGCAAAATTGTGAGCTGAGAAAATATCTTTTCTTTATATATTCAGGATCAGATATTTTGTTATTGTAACAGAAAATAGAAAGATAGGGTTTTTTTTTTAATTTGTAAAGTGACTTTACTAATTAGGTACAAGTATAAATTTTATTAATGAACTTATGTTTTGTTTCTTAGTTATTCTATTATTTAAAATAAAATTACATATAACAAAATCAATATACAAAACATTCAAATCCAAATGCACGTAAAGATTCTATTTGTAGTGTAAATAATTCAATGCCACATTAGCTATTGCTCATTCTTTATTACATTAAGTCTTGATGTTGCCTATGCACCTGGGATGAGATCAAAATGAAAAAAAAATCATTTATTTTGCCTTTACTCCCTTCTGTTAAAACAGACTAATCCATGGATATTAAATTGGGCACATAATTCACACAACTGAGACTGAGCAGTCAATGTATGTATTTTATTAATAAAGCTAAAATATGTATCAGTGGAAGGGAGTTGTGTATTCATCAAGAAGAAGAATTTGAAGGACAGTTCCCCCATGGGTGGAGCGATTCACCAAGGACTGTGAGTTCAGATGGGTAGAGTACACCACATTCAGGAGTGAGCATTTGGCATAGCTGTTAAGACATTGGTTGGGATGCTTTTATGCTACATCAGAGGGCCTGGATTTGAATCTTAGCTCTGCTTCAAATTCCAGATTCCTGCTAATCCACACCCTGGGAAACAGCAGGCGATGGTTCAACTAGTTGGGTCCCTGCCACTCATGTGAGATATCCAGCTTGAGTTCATCCTGGCTCTTGACTTTAGTCTGGTCTAGCTTCAGCTTTTGTGGGAATTTGTAGAGTGAACCAGAAGATGGAGGATCTCTCTCTGTCTCTCTCTAACTTCCAAATCATAAACAAATAAATGCATTTAAAAAGAAGTCAGCTCTTAAAAAAAAGTCCTCCATTTAGGTAAGGAATTGATTTTTTAAATATTCCACAAATGAGGGGATTTAAAAAACGTCATGGAATATATGTGTTATGACAGAACAATGCATGGATTTCAAAATATTTTTGTACCAAAATGAATGTATCTCAATTCTATTTTTCCACAAACATTTTGAAGTCCATTCACATGTTCACAGAAAAAAGAAAATGCAGAATAAGTGTAAAAAAGAAAATAACAAATAACTAAAATTTCATGTATAATTTCATGTGGTATATTGATGTATACAATTCAGTCATTTTTATATTTACAATAGAACAGTGTTTCCAACACCAATAAAATCTCTACATAATCATTATTTTGAAAAGTTATATATTTATTTATAGTACATAAGGGTATATGTGTGTTTGTATAAATGACCCATTAATTGGTGCTTGATTGTCACATTATTGGACATGATAAACAATCTGAAATGGACACTTTGATAATAAATTATGAAAAGGGGCTATTAATACAGATTATAAAATAGGTTAGGTAAATAATTACTTACTGAGATTAGGAAAACCAGGACTTAAGAAACTTAAGGGTGATCTTCAACCAACTCAAAGGGAACCATCACTTTATATGGTTGAGAGTGAGCTTAAATAATTTGTTAAGTAAAGCAATACTGAAACAGAATTTAAACGAGTCAAATGTGTTCTAGAGGACAAAATCACAATGAGCTCCCTAGATAATCTAGAATTTCTTTATGAAGCAACATTTTAGGAGGGAAATACGGAGTATATATGGAGCTGTGATACCAGGGACAAAGGAATAAATGTGAAAATAAATAAAATATGTGCTGTGGGAGTTGAGGGGAGAACACTTCCAATTAGGAATCATTCTTTGTGCTGGTCTGTGTCCTCTCTTGCAGCAATGTATGGACATAGTGTAACCAGACTCCCCTGTGAACCCACCACTGGAAGTGGTGTCATATGAGAATATGGAGACGGTAGCCCAGCTCTTGTCTTTGCACCTCCTGACATGTTAACAACCTTATGGGTCCCCTTCCCATCATCAGGGTAGATGTGGAGATGGTGTCTCAATGGCAGAGCCTTCTCTCCAGACACATGATGTTTGACAGCTCATACGAGGTGATTTCTGACCCCAGCAAACATTCATTTTCCCATGAATCTGTAGGCTGTCTAGAAGCCAGTCCTGTTAGCTGAGTTCTTGACAACCTGGCGCATTGTTAGTCACTCTCCCTGCTGCCTGGACCTGGTACTCTGCTTCAGTCCACGTGGCATCCGCAGGTGCCACGACCTGGAACATCAGCTATTTGCCACTGCTCCAGAGAGCAGCCCCCTCCACCCATGGAAATTTTATTCTATCCTCGGACACTCTTTTCATTCTTAATTTATTCTTCCCCCTTTCCTGGCCAGGACCTCTCTTTCTGCCATGGTGGGTGTCACTTTGACTGTTTGGTCCTGAGAATTGCTCACGTTCTGAAGATCACTGCACTGTTAACATCTAAAGATGATGTTTTGATAAGGACTATATTTCAAGGAGTCTGCTTTTTGCATATCGTGTGTGTGTGTGTGTGTGTACCTATACATGGGCAGGGGAACAGCAAGTGTGTGTAGAGTCAGGTGGACAGAGTTTAGCCTGAACTAAAAACACCCACTTCATGAGTCCCCAGTGGAAAGAAGTGGTCATCAAAGAAGGATGTACTTTTCTCTGAAGGGACGAGATAAGTTCCACTTTGCTTATGGCCTTGTCTAAATACTGACAGAGTTTGTGGATTCAAAAGGCTTCCATAGCCTAGGCAGCTCATGTCAAGAGCCTTGGGTGATCACTGATGTCATACAAAAGATGTTAATTGTTGAATTAATAACAGGAGTCACTGTGCACTAACTTCCCATGCAGGACCTGTGTCCTCAAAGAGTTATATTATAATTGTGGATAAGTGCTCACAAAGATGTATCATTCTTGGATGCTTCCTTAAAGTTTCTAAAAAAAAATAAAAAAGGAGTGAAATTAACTTCAAGATGCAATGACTTTGAACAGCCATTGCATTGACTGTTGAGGAACAATTTTTGTTTGTGTGCAAATTGTTGAACTCTTTACTCAGTATAGAGTTGGTCTTTTGTGCATAAAGTTAATTAAAAATGAATCTTAGTGGAGAATGGCACTGGGAATGGAGAGGGAGGAGGAGAAGGGATGGGAGTGTGGGTGGGAGAGTGGGTATGATAGGAAGAATTACTATATTCCTAAAGTACTTACAAAATGCATGAATTCTGTATTCCTTAAATAAAAGGTTTCTTTGGGAAAAAACAAACAAAACAAAAAACCCCCATCCACTTCTTTTAAAGAAAAACAAATCTTAGTGAAAACTTTAAAAAGACAATGATCCTGTAATTACTATCTCAATAATCATCAGAGCTTCATGGATTATTCCCATTTTAGAGAGCTCCTTAGAATTATAATTCTCAAGCTCAGAAAAGTATACTTCATCTGTGATAGTAGATACTATCTACCAAATGAATGTATTATTCAGATAAATCCCCAAATAGCTATTGTTCCAGTCTAAGCAAGAGAATAAATTTAAATTTGTGATGCTTTTAAACACTTCAAATGTGGCCTATACTTTTATAATGCTCAAAAATATCTCTAGATAAGAAGAGACTTTTTATTCTTGGGGACTTTGAAATGTAGAGTGCCTTGATGTATAACTAACCTCCTCCACACAGAGCGAGACCAAAGCCCTCTATGGAATGGCTGGCTGACTGCCACAGTTCAAAAGAGCCAAAGAGGTCATGGACTCAAAACTTTCTTGTTTCAGATAAGAAAAATAAAGCTCCAAAGGTTGAAGAACTTGCCTCTGGTAGAAGTTCACTAAAC